GTGTTTCACCCACCTGGTCACATCACATGAAAGATGGACTGTGCTTGACCATCAGCACACAGTGTTCCACCCACCTGGTCACATTGCATGAAAGATGGGGTGTGCCTGACCATCAGCAGACAGTTTTTCACCCACCTGGTCACATTACATGAAAGATGGGCTGTGCTTGACCGTCAACTGACAGTGTTCCACCCACCTGGTCACATTACATGACAGATGGGGTGTGCTTGACCATCAGCAGACAGTGTTTCACCCACCTGGTCATATTACATGAAAGATGGCTGTGCTTGACCATCAGCAGACAGTGTTCCACCCACCTGGTCACATTACATGAAAGATGGGCTGTGCTTGACCATCAGCAGACAGTGTTTCATCCACCTGGACACATTACATGAAAGATGGGCTGTGATTTGACCATCAGCAGACAGTGTTCCACCCACCTGGTCACATTACATAAAATATGGGCTATACTTGACCATCAGCACACAGTGTTCCACCCACCTGGTCACATTACATGAAAGATGGGCTGTGCTTGACCATCAGCACACAGTGTTCCAGCTACCTGGTCACATCACATGAAAGATGGGCTGTGCTTGACCATCAGCACAAAGTGTTCCACCCACCTAGTCATAGATATGCAAGTTGGAGGTCAATATTAATAGCAACTCAAACTTTGAAATGCACACAACTTCTTACAATCACACATTATTTTGTCAGTCTCAGTAGAACCTTGTAAACGTTCACAAGGCTGCATGAATCTCATGATAGGACACTACAAGGGCAATTAGAGAAAAAAGCTAATTAACTCTCGAGATATCAGTGTAATAGATGTACTATAAAACTGCAAAGATTCCCATTGTGTATTTTGCACCCGGCAGTCAAGCTTGCCAAGTGAAAAGTGAAAGTAAACCGTGAGTTTTATTATAAAAACTTGCCAGTCAGTGGGGTTATTTATCCGGATCCAGGTCCGGGCATAAATAAACCTCCAATACACTTAACACATAGCAGTTCTTCCTAAGCTTTCTTTGTACATGTTTTTAATATCGCATTTACCAAATTGTGATATGTTATATTACTTGTATTATGTCACAGAATGTTTTCAAAGTTTTGCCTTGACAGCGACTTTGTGTGTTGGTGCATCTTCTTTACCCCAAGCATATGCTGGCATCTTGTCATGATCTGTAGCAAAATAAAGCACATCATTACTAGTACCGGTAGAAGTTTTGGATTCCAAAGTATACTTTTATCACAATTCACACATGCTTACAGAAAC